GAAAACCTAAGCTATTTTAAAGCAGGAAGCAGCAAGAAGGCCAGAGGCTGACCATGGTCCTGAGGGGAGAGACATACCATGGCTACAAGGCTAACTGCTCAGAAATAATTAGGAAAAATATCCAGAAACTGGCTTACCTAAGGGACAGTACTATATGGGGAGGGGGAAAGGAGGAGAGGGATCACATGATCTCTCAAAATTCCTAAATGTTTCAGACATTTGTAGGTTGCTGGAATCATGGGTTCAAAAACATTAGGAAATCACCTGAGAAGACATTCCACATGTTCTCCAAAGAGGCTGAAACCCAAGGACAGAATCTGAATGAAATTATATAACAATTCAAATTTCTCTTTGAATTTCTAATTCTTTCCTAAGAATAACAACAAAAAAAAAAAATCCAAAGTTCCTTATTATATAATTGATCTTTTTTGGAAAATTTTAATCTAAAAACAATTTTGTTGCCACAGTTATCCACCAATCAATAAAACTAACCAAAAACATAATTGTTTTTGTTTAAAACCAAGCTGGTGAAGGGTGAACTTTACCTCATAGGTAGTATCTAATTTATTCACATACACACACACACACACACACACACACACACACACACACACAAAGTTTTTCTGGTAGATTTTAAATCCAAATAGAACTTACAAAAGATTACCATATAGGGAACCAGAAGTATAGGGCCCTGGGTTTGATCCCCAGCACCACCAAAAAAAAAAAAAATTTACCATAAATAGTTCATATTGTCAAAACACTTGTGATTTTAGACTTAGATTATCAGTAAAGCTTCTCACACAAATTTAAGGAAACCTTAGCATTCCACAACATCCTAGGAATCCAAGAATAAAATCTAAAAGTGGAAAAGGATCTAAAGAGTTGCTATGGGGGTTGAGAAGATACTACATGGTTACACTGTTTTAAGGGATTTTTTTAATTCCTTCAAAATTTCTTTTAACTTTATATTATCTTCTTTTTGATTAAAACAAAAGTAAAAACCTGTGTCTGGAATTGTCCAAGAGCCCTTTACTTATCAGTCTCAGAAAATACTCTCTGCTCTTTACCAAGAAATGCCTGGATCATCTCAGCACATTTAATGGAGTTGGGAATTAACAGGCCTACTACTCACCTGTTGACCTCGAATCACTGATGTCACAGACAAGCGACAGGAGTGGTGCTGCCTGCCAACCCTGAAATACTGTGGGTTCTTTAACTCACACTTGAATGCTCTGCTCAGGAGTAATTTACAACACAGTATAAACTCTCCCAGGTAGGTAGCCCACACAGCAGCATCTGACGTGAGAACACTGTCCTCAACTCCAACCTCAGTTTACAGATTTCACATACACAGTGCTGTTTGCCCACTTTACAGCCCAACTATCCAGGAAGAGGTGTGAGGAGACAAAAAGTAAGTACCGACTTGTTAATCTTCAACTGTCCTGTCTCATGACATAGTCAGTCAATGTACATCTCAAAGAGCTATTTATAAAAATCTAAATTGTTAATCTAATTTTTATCATGCAATCCCAACATTTCCCTGTAATTTGGAGCTTAGTAAAAGATCTGTTTCCTAGCTAGGTATGGTGGACAGGACACACCTGTAATCCCAGGACTAAAGACGTGGAGGCAGGAGGATCACTAGTTTGAGGCCAGTCCAGGCTACATAGCGAGTTCTAGGCTAACCTGGGCTATGGGGAAAAAAAAGGTGTCCCTGTGTTCCACAATCATATTATTCAGGGAAATCACTGAGTTTAAAATATACATTGAGAAAGTCAGCACCACAATTAAGCCTTACTTATTAAATTCAGTGGCCTTGTCCACTCCCACAGAGGACTGCGCATCCCCATACAGACAGCTACGCACACTCACATCCATGAAGGAGAGCTTCATCATCATCACTGATGATGAAAAAACCACAAGTGAGGAAACTAACCAGAAGGCTAGAAAGATTAGTTCTACTCAGGGCAAGGAAGCACATGGCAAGAGAAGATGCCAGGTCTGGAAATTGGGAAACCAATTGGGGCACGTCTTCCCCACCCCAAGCCTGCCTTCTGACCTACAGATCACATAGAGAGACCAGAGCAGAGAACCATTTGTGGCCTGTCCAGTGCCACAGGCTGTAACTTCAAACATCAGCTCGGTCCATATGGGACACTAGCAATTCTACTTGAGCTGTGAAAAAGATGCTTAACATATGAAAAAGCATTTTTATATAACAAAGAGGAAAGATAGCACATTCGCCTCATTTGGTTATTTATTGCTACTTACGAGTGGAAATTTTAAAGTGTTTCATGTGCTGTGCTTCAAACAATATCCAATTTATATTTTTTAAAAAATAGCTTAAAGAAAAATACACACAAAGCAGAGTATTTCCAACTTTTGAGGTCCAGAATTTCATAGAAGAAATCAATCAAACTACAAACATAATCAAAGGGAAATTAAAGACAAAATCTTACTATGAAAGCTGAAATGACCTGTCCTGTGCAACCACTGTGGCAATAAGAAAGTAAGAGACAGAAATAATCTCTTTTTAAAACTTAAAAACTTTTACTATTTACACTTTCCATTTTTCTTCAGAGATTTCCCAAAAAGTCAAGATTTGGGCTGAATCAGCTGCTTTCCTCTCTTTAAGTTTCCAGAATTCTACATAGTTGTCATTAGATACCTGACAAGACTGGAGAGGTGGAGGGAGGATGCCTCTCTGCATGACAGGAATTAATACATCCAAGGTTCAAACACCGCAGAGTGATGAATCCAAAAGCTCAATAATACACAAACTGAGAGCCTCCATATGGCCCCTGAGCAGAAGTCATTCCTCTTGAAGTTGGGCTAGCTAATAATGCTTTACATAAAGTTTTATTATAAAGACCAGTCTTTGCTTTCCCATCAAAATAACTAGATAATTTCAAGTAATACTAAACAATAATTGTACACGTATCTTAACTAGTAACACACCACTTTGGTGTTACGATGGTATTATATATATTATCATACACGACAGTACGCAGCACTTCTAAATTTGTTAGTATTTCATTAAAATGCCACCTTATATTTAAGTTCATTCTGCTCTGTAATTTAAAGTTTACACTTCTGCACAAACTGAGCAAAGAAAATAATGTAATTTATTTGTAATCTCCAAGAGTCAGAACACAATTTTGAAAATATGTCTACATTATAGCATGTTTCTGTTTAGACCTGGAAAGGTCCAATCTTAAAAACTCTAACCACCTCACATGCTGAGAAGAGCTTCCTCCAGTAAAGCCCAGAGTATCCCAGCCTTCGGGGCCATCCCAGCCCAAGTGCTACAAAGTCCCAGGTCAGAGGCCACCTGGACCGCACCTCACCAGTGAAACTGATCTTCCCTCTGCTTCCTCCCCTCGGTCATATTGTTCATATCCATGCAACTCAGTTGAACCTGACCGTGGAACTGTCTGGATTTCAAGATCCAATGCTAAGAAAGGATGGCCAATACAATATTGAGAAGTCCCAGATTTTAACATGCACCAAAGATTTCAAAGCAACTGTGGAGTCAGTTAACTATCCAGATGGAAATTCTGTCACTGATAAAGGTTCCCCAAAAACTAGTACCCAAGAATGGTGACCCCACACAACAAAGCACCACAGACTGTCCTATGGCTTGGGACCTCTCGAGGCTGCAATCCAGAGCATGGAGTAACATCTCACTGAAGAGCAAGAGACAGTCTGTGGCCATACCACCCTGAACACAATCCTGACCCAACAGATCATGTCTAAAGAGCAAGGGACAGAGAAAAGGAGGGGAAGGGAAGGAGGAAAAAAAAAAGCGAGAGCGAGAGAGTAAGTGTGTGTGTGTGCAAGGGACAGTAGCCTTCTAATGAATACTGCAACTTAAGTTTTAATTTGTAAACAAAATTCCAAATCGTAGCCACTACTGTGACAGAGTAGAAGGCAGAGAGTGGAACACATTCTTTGGTTCCTCCTGTAAATATTAGCTCCAAAGATTAGAAAATATTACACAGTCCTAGCCCAATGATGCAATACACCCAAGGATAAGATTTTCAGAGTCTGGCCTGAACGTCAAGACTTCTTGAGCCTTGCTTCTTCCTACCTAGTCCCTGCAGATGAGGGAACTGAGTCTTGGGATAGGTGAGGCAAAAGTTCCCCTTACACTTTTACCTGTCTTAAAGACTTTAAAATCACTAAACAGCTTAATCGAATGTTTGTCCTAACAAAGCATAATATGTTAGCAGATCAATGGTTACAGCCATTATAGATCCCCCTGAATGAGCTACAGGGAGCCTGCAAATATCAGATGAAGTTTTTCAGAGGCAGTCCCAGCTACTCTCCAAATAGCATAAGGTCTGGCACGATTACAATGAAGAAAAAAACTTATCAATTTGCTCTTGCTCTTTGCTTTTCTTTATTTAAGTGATAGTTTCTTTTTTTATTTTGATGGTACTGGGGTTTGAACTCAGGGCTTCGTGCTTGCTGGACAGGTACTCTACCACTTGAACCATTCCACAGCCCTGCTTTTCTTTATTTAAAACAAAGCTTTTAACCTAGAATTTTTCTTGGAGGTAGTACAGGAAAGGGGTTATACAGGCCCTGGACACTAAGGGGATGTGGTCAGGCTGTCACCGGGGAGGGGCTCTGGGAGCTGGGCTCCCAGGGAATGTCCACAGGCGGCCCACGGGGGGCGGGAGAGTAGGTGCAAAAGGCACACGCGGCTGACCCCCGGGTGGGAAAAGGGGGTAACTCCAGGCTGACTCCAGACCCCAAAGGCGGGGGCGGGGCGGATGTCCCAGGCAGCGCTGCAGGAAATGATATCCAGACTGGGAGGGTGGGTCTAGGAAGCGGCCAGGGCGATGGCCGAGAGCGGGGGGAGTGGGAACGGAGGATGTGACTGCAGCGCGCAGGGTGAGGGGGCGGGAAGACCCCGCGCGGGCTCGAGGGCCGGGGGGCACGGAGGGAAGAGGACCGAGCCGGGACGCCCGGGGCAGGGCAGGGAGGTCACTCACCCCACTCGAGGAACTCGGCCACATACTTGTCGCGGCGCAGAGCCGAGTGGCTGCACTCGGTGTAGAGACACACCAGCACGTCCAGCAGCGTCTCCACGCTCAGGGCGCTCTCGTTGCGCCACGGCCCGTCCAGGAGCAGCTGCTCCAGCTTCTTGAGCCGCACCTTGGCCGACATGGTGCTGCGCGGCCCGCTCCCCACGCGCCGGCCTCTCGCCGCCCGTGCGTCCAGGAGTCAGGGCCAGTCCTCGTGGGCCAGGCGGCCGCGAGCCCCGGTAGCAGCGGCGTCCAGTCGCCGCCCCGTCCGCTTCGTCGCGTCCCGGCCTAGGCCGACATCTTGGGCTCCGTCCCGGCGGCACGGAGTCTGGGACGCCGGGCCCCGCGGGTCCATGGGCCGGTCTCCTCCCCTCGGCGCCGCCGCCCTCCCCAGAGTCGCGGCCCGCCCGCCGTCCCCGCCCTCAGCCGCCCGGCCGCGCCCTCCCGCGGGCAGCCGCTGACCTGGAGCGCCGCGAAGCAGGGCGCTGCGCAAGCCCGGCCGGCGCCCGAGCCCCGACCCCAGCCAGCCCGGTCGGCCTCCCAGCCTGCGGCCCACAGCCAACCAGGGCGCGGCCAGCGCGGCGCAGCCAACCACGGCGGGACCGGCCACCGCCGCGCTGACCTCAGCGCGCCGCCCCGCCCTCGCCCCACGGCGATTCCCGATGGATCGGGCCTCGCGGCTCGCCGTAGGAGCCGGGCGGGGCGACGAGTGCGTCGCCGAGATTGCGGCTCGCGCGTGCGCAGAGGGGCCCGGGCGGGGCGCGGGGCCGCGCTGCGCGTGCGCGCGCCTAAGAGCCAAAAGGTTCTTGGCTCGGGAGGAGTGGCCGCTGGTCCTGACCTGCCGCGGGGCCTCGGAACCCATCCAACCTGGCGAGGGGGGTGCCTAGGGCCCCCGCGGGAGCAGCTCTTGATGGTGTCGGGGCCTATCAGCTGATAACGATCTTAGAAGACTAGGCCCTGGCGGCCTCTGTCCCCCACCCCCCGGAACTGCTGGAGGGGCGCAACCCGGTGGCCAGTCTCCTCTGGGGATTCGCCATGCCCCACAGTGGCCATTTGAGATTACACTGTTCAGACTGCTTCTTAAGGTGCCAGCCCGGTAGGAAGCAGGCACCACCTTTACTGAGACTGTTGGTTTATTCAGGATTTGGGTGATTGGGGAAGGACAAGAACGTTGATGGAAAGGAGGGACCCCTGAGGCTTGCGGGGAACCTCCGCAAGCTAATCCGGGAACGGGGGGGCGTCAGCAGGAGCAGGGGCTTGCGGTGGAGCGAGTTGGGAGAGAGAGGGGGTGGGAAGCCGGAAGCCAAGGAAGCCTGTGACAGAACCCCATATGGAGAGACGTCAGTAGACTGGCGATCTCTGCGGGGGAGGTGTTGACCGGAAGGTTCCCGGAAGCCTCCTGGGCTGCTGGGAATGTCCTGTGACTTGATTCGGATTTTACATGGGTACATAATAAGTAAACGACCTCCAAACTGTCCTCTTAAGAGTGTAAGATGTGCTCACTGCATGTCACTTTGTGTGTGTAAAATGCAAGCCAAAAACATCTGGAATTAGAGGTCAGTGGGAGGGGGGTGAATTGGAAGGGGAGTCAGGGGGCCTTCTCCCAGCTAGGAGAACTCTCTTATCTTCCTCAGACCGGTATTCTTATCTGGGTCTATACATACATAATTCATTGACCTGTACTCTGAATAATTGTTTACTATATGTGTGTGATACTTCAATAAAAACTTTTTAAATGAAGAGAAAGAAGGTGGAGCAGATCACTTGACCCAAAACCAAAGACTTCCTACTAGTTTTAGGATTGTCACCAAGTCCTCTGTCTCTGCTCTGAGATAAGGTCAAATTCTTATCTCAGCTTTAAGCAGGGTGAGCAGATGTCTGAATGTGCCTGGGCAGTTCCCATGCTTCATTGTCTTCCCAGCATACTAACAGTGCCCTTTATTCCCATAACTGTCCCTAGAGATAGCAGATCTGGCCATGCTCAATCCTCCAGCTTACCTCTTTCCAGCCTCCACCTGTTTCTCAACTGTTTCTGGTCCCTCCTCCCTCAGGCCCTTTGCCTTTCATTTGCCAGCGCCCCCATCTTGGATATCACCACACACACAGGCTCTAGTATATCTACATAGTTTCCACAGTGTCCCTTCAGGGCAGCTTTGTTTAGCTGCCTTGGATATGTCAGACTCAATGTACCCTATAGGTTTTCTGCTCCACACTTGAGACAATGGGACCATATGGGCTTCCCCACTAGCCTGAAACTTTCTGTGCCTCAGATGTAGAAACAGAGAACTATCTGTGCATTTCAGGGAGTTTGGGAGAGATGAAATGACTTACCATCCATGGAACACTTAGGCCCTGCCTGGTTTGAAATAAGGACTCACACATTGTGCCTGCTATCATGTGTTCCAATTACCATTTCAGAGAGCAGGGATCTGTCCAGTCGGTGGATGGTGCAACTTTGGGTGCTGGCTCCTGGCCCCAGACCAAGAAATCTGTGTGTGTGTATCTTCTCAACTTGATTTGACTTTAGGTCTTCCCCCTGGCACCCAGATTGGGCCCCTTGTGCAGTGTGCCAGGAGCCTTCTCTTCCTTTCACAGCCTCTCAGCTAGCTTGGCTGCTTCCACCCATCTGGAACTGCACCCAGGAGGAGGGCAGGGAAGGTGTTGAGGACTGGAGAATAAAGATGGCCCTCTCCTGGGGACATTCGCAGCCACCTTGGTTGTTCCCTGTTGCCCTCTCTCCTGAATTCCCTTAGCCCAAGCAGAAGTGTCACTTTTTGAATATATGTTTACCTGGTAGCTGTGGGGGCCCTTCTAGGGAAACAAACAGACAGGACCTGAAGTAATTGGTCTTTTGCTCTCTGAGAAATCCCTTGGAAACCTTCACTCAAAGGGAAGGAGAAGTGCCCCCATGCTCTGTGTCCTCAACACAGAGTTTTCTGCTCTCTTACTTTTCATTCTGTGGAGGAGGACAGGTTCCCAGCCATTTCCCTTGACAACCTACATATGGCAATCCATCTCTCTCTCCTCTCCTTGTTCTGTTTTCTTTTTCGGTAGTACTGGTGTTTGGACTCAGAGCCTCATGCTTACAAGGCAGACACTCTACCATTTGAGCCACTCCACCAGCACTTTTTTGTGATAGGTTTTTCAAGATAGAGTCTCGTGAACTGTTTGCCCAGGCTGGCTTCGAACCTTGATCTTCTTGATCTCTGCCTCCTGAATAGCTAGGATTACGAGAATGAGCCACTGGTGCCCGGCCTGTCATCTCTTCTTGGCTCCTCAAAATTTCAGATTAGCATTCTGATACATTTACATTGTGAACACCAGACAAAAGTCACTGCCTTTGGTGGAAACTCACTCCCTCCCTCTGAATCCCGTGTCTTGTGAATCTTGGCATCAGCTCCATTCTGATCATGATATTCAAGAGGGAGTGCAAAGGGGTGGACATGTGACCCAGGACTAGCAAATCAGAGAAGAACTTCTTTAGGATGTTTCCCACCAAAATGAGAGAGAATTTCTTTCCTCTTAGACTAGGGTAGCTAAACTATTTCTATAGCTTAAAAATATTCTATAGTCTATAGCATATTTTCTATTTTTTATAGTGTATTTTGTGAGACCTACAGTCTTTTCTACTGTAATAGCATGAAAATAGCCATTGATAAAGTGTAAACAAATGAGTGTGGCTGTGTGCCAGTAAAGCTTTATTTACAGAAACAAATGGCTTGCTAACTCTTGCTTCACAGCATAGGCTGGAGCTGTGGGACTTCAGGTCACCAGTCCCAGCCCTTGTTAGAAAGGAAGGGAGGGAGGGAGAGGGGTCTACAAGAAACAATAAAGTTTCCTTTTCTCTTTAAGTCAGTGTGAGAAAGGGCCTCACCATTTGCACCTGAAAATGCCCTTTTCAAATCACTAAGAACAAATGAAGATAATCCAAAAGAAAAATGGGCAAATAATATGAACAATAAAATATGCAAAGAGAAAACTGAACAAATAATATGAACAATAAAATATGCAAAGAGAAAACACAAATCAATCAACATATGAGAATATGCTCAATCAATTTGTACTAAAATGAAAATTAACTTCTGCTTCCAGCCAAGATGGAATGACAGGGACCAGAATTACTGTCATACTTGAAATGAGGAAGAAAAACAAAGGATGTAGATAAAAATCCAAGAAACAATGGCTTTCCCAACAGTGGAAATCGGGCAATATGACAGTGATCCTTATCCCTGAGACAAAAGAGATGAGCCCTCTGACTGCCCTAGCCAGGGTGGGGAACTGAGGTAAGAGGACAGAACAGAGAGACTGGAGGCTAGAGACACTAAGACAGAATTCTTAGGACAGCAACAAAAAGTAGAGAGCTACACAGATGGAAAACTCTGGAGAGCCAAGAGTCACCTCAAAAATCTAGCACAAGGGTGGCAGAGTGACATAAGTGGTAGAGCACCTGCCTAACAAACATGAGGCCCTGAGTTTAAAACCCAATGCTGCCAAAAAAAAAGAATCCAGCACAATACTGACCAGTGCTCCTGTGGAAGGAAACTACCCAAGGTCAGGGAAAGAACCATCCAAACAGATCACAGAAAATAGTGCCTGGTGAACACACAGATTGACTATAGTGTTGTTTTCCACCAGCTAGACGAGAAAAGCCTCATAATTCACAGGCATTGGATAGAATTCTCAAGAAGGTTGCTGTTAGTTGGCTTACTGTTGCTGTGACAAAATACCCAAGAAAAACAACTTAAAGGAGGAAAGATTTGTTTTGGCTCACAATTTCAGAGGTTTCCGTCTATGATCATTTGGCTTTGTTGTTTCTGGAACTATGGTAAGGTAAGGAAGCATGTTAGGAAGCACGTGCTCACCTCATGGTGGCCAGCAAGCACAGAGAGGGAGAAGAAGGGACCAGGGTCCTAATATACCTTTTGAAGGTATGCCCACAATGACCTACTTCCGCCAACTAGGCCCCACCTCCAAATAGTGCTACCAGCTCTTCTCCAAGAGAAGAGAAGAGAAGAGAAAAGCTCTAAACTGAGCATGCTTCCATAATCTGACTGACAAATCCTAAAAATAATAGCCTAGCAAGCCTGGCACCAGTGGCTCATGCCTGTAATCCTAGCTACTGAGGAGGCACAGATCAGGAGGATTGCAGTTCAAAGCTAGCCCCAGGCAAATAGTTCCCAAGACCCTCCCTCAAACAAAAAATTACAAAAAAAAGGGCTGATAAAGTGGCTCAAGCCATAAGAGTGCTTGCCTAGCAAGCATGAGGCCCTGAATTCAAACCCTAGTGCTGCCCCCCAAAAAGTAAAATCACAATGTCTGACATCTAGGCAAAGATTACTAGATTTTGAAACAAGTGAAGAATAACCTGTAATGAAGAGAGTAATTACTTAACCAACATCAGGGTTTACTTAGATATTATAATTAGCA